TGGCGAGCTGCGTCGAACGGCGCAAGGACGACGGTTCTAGCTTATACACTTTTTGAGGAAAGCTCAAATTACTGTGTCAAAATTGTCACAGCGTCACGCTTGGACAAGCCGATTACTAGTTGGAAAAGGAACTTTTAACTAGATGGGCCTGCATGTGCAACTAGCAACATTTAAATCAATCGATTATCGAGCGATAGGTTGATAGTTGCAACTAGATGAAATGTACAATCGCCCGATTACTAGATTTTCACTGTCGGCACTCAATAGTTGCAATCGAGTAAAAATCTAGTAATCTAGATGAATCGGGCGATACTAGATTTTTTTTTTGACGCTTGGGCGGATGCATCCATCTCCTTTTTTCAAACATAATTTAAAACAATGGATTCCCGATGCGTTAGGATTCGTAGTGTTCTCCCACTTCTTTTTTCTTTACCTGATCCAGTTGATGTTGCTATTGTAATTACCGTATTTTTCTCAATTTTGTCTAGAAGTTCCTTTGATGATTCGTAAAGCGGTAGTTGTATGAGGAAAGATTTGTAGTAAATATTTATTCTTTGCAGTAATGTTACTATCAAATTAAAATGTTTTATTTCCAATCCGACGTAAATTTTGTCTGTTTTAAATAATGTTCTTACTTTTTCAATGAAATTTTTCGCAACTGAAATTGATTTTGGGGTTGGTTTCTTGACTACTTTTAATTCTTGAACAAATAAATTTTTAATAAATTCATCTAATGCCACATGCTTCAATTGTTCTACCTCATTGTTGAAAATATTATCTTTCATAAATTTATCTGTTACTGTCTTTAATTCAATCCAAGGTTGAATAGAATTGACAATACATGGTTCCGTAATTCGTTTTCCATTTTTGTTAATATGTTCATTAAATATCTTGTTATATTCATCACTTTTATCTTGCAATAATTTCATAAAAAGTTCTACATAACGTTTCCAATTCAAAATATTATTCATTGGTTTCACAGATAAAATATTCTTTGTTATTGTTCGTATAGTTTTATTCAATTGTCGTTTATAATAATCTTTGGCTGATTGAATTACATTTACCAGTGTCTGAATACGAGATAATATTAATTTGAGTTCAGTGTGGTGTACTTGAAAACCCGTTAATCTAATCATGTAATCATTTCCTTTTTCCATTATGTTAATCTGCGGTAATCGATCGGCAAACAATGCCTCGTATTCACTAATCTTTTTTTGTTTCAGATACTCATTTGTACTTTGCATTTTTGTTAGTAAAAATTCTCCTAATATCGATTGTATATCGTATTCAATTGTTTTGATTGTTTTTGTTATATTAGCTAGAAGTTTTTGTTTCTCATCAGCCAAAACTTGTTGTGATTGGAGTTGATCTAATTTTCTTAAAGCTTCATCTAATTGATTCTGTTTTTCTTGACTCATTTTCCCAGTTTGTTCTATTTGCTCTTGAACTCTGACTTGCGCCAAAGCCATTTGTTCTTTCAAGTCTTTATTCTCAGCTTCTAATTTAGCAGTGATAGCAGCAGTTTCTGCCGCGTTAGCTGTTGAATTTGATTTTTCGAGTAATTGTGGTAAAGTTTGTCTGGCAACAGTTTCATTAAAGTAATCATTTGAATTGATTGATATAGTATCTGGATCTTTAGATTGCATCGAGGATAAAGAAAGCTGTTGCGTATCAGATGATTCATTACCTTTTATTAAATCCTCTAAAGTCCACGTTCCATTGTTCGATGTCGTTCCCTGAAAGAGAAATAGTAAATATATAGAAAAACTTATAGTTATAAGTTAATGTTTTTCATTTATTAATCAGAAGAGCTCATAGAAGATAATATGTAATCATTAGTAAAATTTTTCAAGCCAAATAGACAGACAAGAGTTCTGTAGAAGTCAAATTATTTTTCAACATGGGCATGTTCATACCGATTTATTTACATAGGCCCTACCTTTTCTTTGTCAGTCTCATCATCATCTTCGTTGTCGTCATCATTGAGCTTCAGAATTTCTTCATCGTCGTTCATTTCCGATCGCTGTAATTGCTGATCAGTTTTTGTTACTGACGCCTGTGCTAATCGTCTTGTTGTTAACGGTATTGCATTCGAATCACCAACACTTTGAAAATTGTCAATATCAACTATATTGGTTTTTTCTATACCCGATATCAATTTTGGTACCCATCGAATATAACCGATAATTAATTCATTATCGGATTTAAACGAAAATGTCTGTAAATCAAATTTAAGTTTATCACCGATATAATCGATGTCTATGGTCACTTGTTTACGACGGTAATTCATTGCATCATCTAACAGACTGCTGGATTTAGCACCACAAGAATACCACGAATTTAATTGTAACTTAAAGCGACTGTCATGAATCGCAGGTATCGTTAATGTTTTTAATGATGGTGTTGTATTTTGCTCAGCTTTACTGTGTTTTGTCAACATAATTTCCCATAATGAATAAGTATCGAAATTTAGTGCACTAGAACCACGACATCGGATCCATGCCAAGTTATTTTTGGACTCCATATCTTTTCCAGAACGTAAAAAATTCATCATTGAAATGCTGTAGACACCTTGACGGACGCGTAAGTGAATTGTCGTTGCGAATTCTGGCTGATTGGGTATTAATGACTTGTGTAATTCCTTACTTTCATTTTCCGGAAATACATACCACGTGTTGTCACTAACAGGTTTATACTCCCATACGCAATCGATTATTGAGCCTTTTCTCTCGTCATCGCTTATGGTTTTATCGGGTAATGAAGCATTTGTCTGTGGACTGGAATAATTAAGAATAAGATATTTTTGGAAAAACTGTTTTATCCTTGGTTGATGTTCACCTCCAAAGAAAAGCACAAATATTCAGTCTGAAAAGTTTAATAATTACAAAGAATTTACCGTTCATTATCGGTGTTTCAAATGCTTGATTCTGGAGAAAATAATTTGCGCCATTAAGAACTAAGTATTCAACAATTTCTAAGTGACCATTAAAGCAGGCGCCATGTAACGCCGTACTCGCTGCAGTTGGTGATACAGAAACATCTGTTTGTTGTACACCAGTATCATGCAATGCAAAAGCAAGCTGCCGCTGGTTTTGTGCATCAACTGAACATCTAGCTCCCATAATTAGATATTTAACAATTTCCATATGGTTATTTCTTGCACTAGAATACAAAAGGGTAGTTCCCCAAAGACCAGGTTTGTCTTTTAATGCTGGATGATCATTAATAAACTTTTTAACAACGTCCAATTTCCCATTAAATGCAGCTGGATACGCATCAACTGACGCTAAAATTCCTTTTACTTCATGAGAGAATGGATATAGCTCATTGAGTGTTAATGGACATGAAAATTTTCGATTCTTATCATAATGGTATGGGTGAAAAAATTCGAGTAAATAAGTACAACATATTTGGGATAAAAGTGGCAAGTACTCATCCAGTGCTATTTCTATGTCATTCGTTAGTTGTTCAAGCAGTTCATTTTCTTCCTTATCTAGAGTAAATGTATTGATGTTATTATTTAACATCGAATTGGAAAATAAAGAATCATTGGTTGTTGCATTTGAATCTGTTGTTGCTGGATTATTCTCTTGTTTATGTTTCAATTTGTCTATAGTTTGTTGAACTTCTGTCACAATACGCGACAGACATCCTTTTAAGTGTCTTTCATCGTTTTCTGTAGACATTTCTGAAAACATATCATATTTTTAAATTGCATTTACTACAGGCAGTATTCATATCACCAAAATTCAAGATTATCTTAGATGGGGGTACACCTTATGAAAAGAGAATCAGTGACATCGGTCAAATCGAATCAGCTTCACACGTGTAAAATAGCGTAAATACAAATTTCTATTTACCATAAATAACCCTAAAACGGAGCCCCTGAAAGAGGAAGCCTCATAAAACGGTCATCACTCGGGTTTCTTGTCAAAGCATCGTCAACACAGGTAAAAATAAAATTTTCTCGTTGTATGGCATCATAAACGAGGAAAAGAACACAGAACACACACAATACTATGTAGAAGACACGCCGATTCTGTTTTTTGAAACTTTTTCTTTCTTCTTTCATTTTCATTTTAAGAGCCTCTACATCGGGCCAAAATGTATTTTCAACACAAAGCACCGAATCCTTACCAAATTTTCAAAGGATGTGTGTCTTCCCTTGATTAGATTAAAATAAACATTTAAATTTAAAACTTGAATTTTCCCACAGTTATCTTAAAAAACTAGTGGACAGAAAGCAGACGTTTGTAATTTCAAAACTCTTCCATTTGAAGAGCTAAGAATCTCTGGTTGGTCGTAAAATGTAGTTAAGACCAGTTCTAGAACATAACAGAGTCCGATCTTTGATTCTTGTCTGTGTTTTTGAGAAGAAAACGAAGTCATCGAAAAGTTTAGATGTTTTCTACATTTTTCATAAACTTCCTTTTCTTATCAAAAACAAAGCCAAGAATCCAAATCGGGCTTGTTATGCCTTAGAGCTAGTCTTCTACATTTCAAGAGCAACCAGAGATTCCTTGCTCTTGAAATAGAGGAGACATTTTTGAAGATACGAATAGCTGCGAAGACAAAGATCGATTTTAAGCTACCGTGGCGCTAGCTGATGGTGCTGATTTTAGAGCTGTTAGTAAAACTGTCATAACTTTTCATCAAGGCATTGCTCAAAGTTGCCAGACGTCCCATTTTAACTAGAAATACTTGATTCTTGAAACCGTCACCATTAAAATCCTTTTTCAGTAGAACATCCATAGGTTGCAGGATACAAATACATTTTGTATTCGTTTTTCTGGTTTATGTATTGGAAGCAGAATACGTAATGGTTCAAAACGAATACAATCAAATTTATCGACGTATTCTGTCTTTCTCTTTTTAA